TGATGATCACTAGGTTTTATGAGTGAAAAATGAAAATGTTGAGGAAAAGAATAGAACAAAGAGGAAGAGTTAAAGTTAGGAGAGAAGTTTATGACTTAGTGTAAAAATCTACACTCCCTCTCTTATGGTTTTGGGGCATTTTTAGGACGGAAAAGGATATTAATGCCCTCTCTAAAATTTCAATTGTGATATAGAAAGCAAATTTTCTCAATTTCTACTTCTTTTTATTTTTATTTTAAAAAAGAAAAAAAAATTAATGAAAATGACCAATACCAAAACCAATTCTCTTCCAAGACAGGACAAAGAATTACCTAGTCATTCTTTCATGTGTACTACTTTTGATGGCTCTGAGTTGGGAAAAAACAAAATCCTTCCACAGCTTATGTCCTTTGATGGCTCAACAAATAAAGCAAACGAGGCTGGGGCTATTAATTGTTGCATGTGCAACAACAATAAATCAAGAATCTCGTTTGGTCCTATTTCTTCCATCACAAGCATTCCAATCTCTTTACCTTTTTCTTCTGGAAGCAAGACTAAAATGTAACCTGGATACTTTGCACACCTGTTTCACCTCAAGAAAGCATTTGCTTTAAGGATGTTTTTAGCTTTTAGGTCTTGTATATTTGCTATATTGGGAATTGCATTTGCCAGGGAGATATACATTTATACATGCTTATAACCTAATTTCCAACACTTCCTGGGATATGGGTTTCCTGTTATATACCCAATTGCCTATTATAACCCAAATATTTTTTTTTTCTCAAATTCTTGATATAATCTTCAAATTAAGGACATTATCGATCAATCTGACTTAACTAGCACACATAGTATCAAGTATCTACTCTAGTTTCCTAACCTAGCTAGATTAGACAAGAAGAACACACTTTGCGGCAAAAGCCTGTATTTGTAAGTTATATTGGTTTTCATCATTTACAAAGCAAATGCAGTAGTCCACCAGGAATAATGCTAGCTAATTAAACACATATCAAGACTCACCCCTTTTTTGTGTCAATCCCAAGTTCTTGATGAACTGCTTTGTCTATTCCTCCTTGTGAAACATGTTTAGACTCATCTTCATTAATTGATGTTAGCTACACTGCAGCTTTCAATATAATTCATTGTTATTAGCCAACTTTCCAATGTTGACATCTCAGCGTATATAAATATTCGTAGATATTAAAAAAAATCATGATAAATTTAATTAATGATTTATGTGATTATGAACTAAAGGAGTCAAGTCTTCTACAATTATCGTCACAATATCCTCGATTGTAATTTGTAACTAAATTCGTAATAAGTTTGATTAGGTTAATTATTCAATGATGCCAACAGATTTAGTATAATTATACCACTGTCATTATCTAGTGGCTGTACCAGTATGTCAAGGGCAATAGATGTTGGTCAAAAGGAGAGAAATTTAGCCCAAGTTCCCATCGAGCTAAATTTGGGCGCCATGTATCAAAAGGAGAAAAACAACACAATTTGGAACCTTAATCTGTTTCAAGTTAAATACTTTGCTAAAATCAAGAGCAATCTGATTGGAATAACGACGCCCCAGATGCACTAAAACAAATCCATATTCTTGCATATGAAATGAAAGAATAGAGTGCTTGTCAAAAAATTTCAGATTCTCTCTTGGAGAATATTGTAGTATAGCTCATCTTTTAGTTTTACTATAATTAGTCTAGATTTTATACTAGTTGAAGAAAGGTGATGAATTTGAAGCCGGAGGGTCTTTTATTTCATTGGAAAATTTGTTATGAATTTGCCAACTAACCTAGGTTTATAATTCATCATTTTCTTTTCCCCTGAGAAAAAGGATATAGAAAGGCCACTCATATTAATTGCATCTACTTTTTCCCATAAATGTATATATGTTACTTGCATTGCAAGAAGAGGCAAGCAGAGCAATATATCTCGGTGAAAGATACCTTGCTCAACAAAGTTGCGAGATGTCGTTGGGACTTTCCTCTACAGGAATTGATAATAATGAATTAATGATAGTATAGCACGTAATTGGTAACGCATTAATTTCATATAAACAAAATATAATATAATATGTATACTTTTTACGTCGTTTCATATTTAATATTTTTTTTTCATTTCAGTTGAACAAATTACAGTACATATTTTTCTCTGTCGTCGTATTTAATGCTTTAATGTTTAACTTTTTTTAAAAAAAAATCTAATTTTATTTTGTTATTTTAAAATTTTAAAGATGATATACAAATAAAATTAAGATATTCGACTTAATTAAGACAAAGCTGATGATGTACGTACGCCATGTTTTTGGAGATTGACAAAAACGAACAGTAGATCATACTATACTCTAGCTCCCAAGAGTTTTTTTTATGTTTTTTTATTCATATGGCTTTGAAGGTGGTTTTCCTTTCATGAAAAATTGTACTGAGGGAAGACAAAAGAAAGTTTAACTTTTCTGCTGCCTCACCCTCGTTTAGAAGAAAATGTAAGCGTGATGATTATCTTTTTATATAATATATATATATATATATATATATTAAATATAAAGAAAAACAACTCTATTTTAACTTTAAGTGATCATGCAGAATATTATCAAAAATGCTTTAGATTAAGATGAATAATTTAATTTTCTAAGAGTTTGGAGCCATATATATATATATATGTCGAAGATACAATTAAACACTTCATGTAATAAAGCGTGAAAATTTGTCTAATCGAATAAGCAAAGATTGAATTAGAAAAAAATAAGAATAAAAATAAAAATAAAAGAAACGCTCGGCAGGCATATCTAGGCATAATCACCATTTCCATGTCCTTAATCATTGTCTTGTAGAACATCGCATTTGCTACCATCAATTAGCACAATAATTATCAGAACATGAAGCATTGCTAATTGTTGAGATGCATCCAAACCAATTAATTACTTTTTGACTCTAGCCAACAAAGAATCGAGTTTATATGTTTCGATATAATTAAGTTCTCTACTTGGAAGAAAACATACCTAAACTTATGGGTCTATTAAAATTAATACTTTTGATCCTAACAGCCTAAAATCAAGTAGCGTTTATATTTTCATGGAATGTTGTAAGAAGTTGGATTTTACTTGCAAAAGGTTTTCTTTGCCATCAATTTAATTAATTCTTGTTCCCATTATCATTTAGCCTTTGTTTCGATGCTCATTAATAAGTACTCCCAATATCGTCCGACCTATTGCAGTAAGAAAGGATAAAGGCCAGCCCTCATTCCATGCCAGACTTGTCCTCCCCTTCTTTCATGTTACCACAAAAAAACTGACTGCTTAATAAAGAAAGAGCATGCATTTGTGCTAGCGACCCCAATTCAATCATAACAAAACCCTTGCTCAAAAGTTCTTTTGACTCTTTCATTGATGATCATTGCTAGTCCATCTCTATATGTGCCTGAAATATCTCATTCCATCAGCCAAATAAAATTTTTTTTACACATTTGGGATTTTTATATATATAAAATTCCTCATGACCCTACTAATGAAAATTAATAATCGAGATCAAAAATTAAGTTGATTTCTGCTTTACTATGTGTTTACATTTTTCATGGTAGGGTTGGCCACTCTTGTCCGACGACATAGCCATCCAATCGAGTCCAATCCAAGAAAAGTTGGAAAAAAAAAGTAAAAACAAAAACGAACAGATTTGCATTGAAATTTTTTGTCAACAATAAGCCCTAGATGTTAATTAATCAATACATAGCTTCCATGAAAGTAAAGAAATTCGGCACTTGCAACTGTAATGTGGTCCCCAAAGAGGAATAATTACTTGAGCTAGTTTGGCTGTCCTCCATTGCTTAGATGCTAATCAATCATTTGTCTTCCAAAGTGTTGTTTCAGAGGTTGTTAATCGATAATTAATGCTAATTGTCTAGTTCTGATTCATATAATTTAAAGCATGATGCAAAAATTGCAGAGCATATTGACTCTAATGAGCAACATGGGAACAGAAAATTAAACACCAAGAATATATAATGGAAAGAACTCTTTGATATTGTTAAAACATTTCAACTTTTAGTGATTTAGAACTTAAATTTCAAGAATTTATTTTACCAATTAAAATGTAAGTATGGCTAATATCCACATCTTGGAATCTTTAAGTTTCTGAACTCCCCTTTCATCTCGAAAAGAAAAAAAAATGAGGTAGAAAATATTTGTATATTTAGATTTACTTGTTTTTTTTCTCTCACATTGCATGACTTTCAAAGGGGCCTTTTTGCACTTAATTACATGCGAGTTTCATCAGAATTCAACAGCAAATTAATCTTGCTTTAGAACAGATAAAAGTATGCTAATAATAACAAGCATATGATGATGATAGTCCATTTTCAACAGTTAAAAATCTACTTTTAGCAGAGAATAACAAAGCATCTGTGGTGGGACAGTTGTATAAACCTTGCTGTCAATTTGTAAAACGAAGAACATATTGGGCGAAGGTTTTCAGTCTGCAAACAGGGTCTGTTTTCTGTTTCAGTGATCCAATCAAGACCCACACGATCGCATCAAAACTTTGATACCATCACAACCGTCAGATCAGCTGACCTCATTATTATTTGTTGTTGTTGTAATTATCAATCCTGCCGGTGAAGGTTAAATTTTTGAACCATTGCAACCATGGAATTGGGAGGTCAGAGATCAGAAAATTTTTCAGCCAATTTCAAGTTTGATCCTACATGAAGTCGATAAGTCCAAAGTGGGACCTGTCAAAACAAGCGGACCCACAAGCCTGCATGTGTGCCACGTGGACAAGGGAACCCCATCTCTGAAAGAACAGAGAAAGGATCCCATTATAAGCCATACAACCCTTACAGGTTGAGACTGCAGATTTTAGCCTTTTGCCCACAAACCCTAACTGGGCCACCATGGTACAGCTCCCTACATTAAATTCACAGTCTCAGTGTACTCTGATCAGTTTCTCATATCACCCCCAGTTCAATGTTTTTCACATTTTCTTGTAAACCAACTTCTGGGGCTTAGGTCTTTGAACACATAGAAACACAACTCTCTCTCTCTCTCTCTCGCCCTTTTCTGATCTGCTTTTCTTTTTGACCTTTTGAATAAACAATTTACAGCACTGATTCTGGCCTGCCATTGGCTGCAATATTGAGAGAGAGAGAGAGATAGAGTCAGATGGGGCACCATTCCTGTTGCAACAAGCAGAAGGTGAAGAGAGGGCTATGGTCACCAGAGGAAGATGAGAAACTCATTAACTACATTACAACCTATGGCCATGGTTGTTGGAGCTCAGTCCCTAAACTTGCAGGTTCTTCCTCTCTCTCTCTCTATGGTTTCTTGACTCATAACCATCATTTTTAATTTCTTATTTATCATCATCTCCGTTGCTCTAGTTTCTCTAACCATTTTTTCGCAGACTAACTGCAACTACCAACTACATTTGATGCCTGTTTATTATCTTTTTCTTCTTGTTAATCCTTGTTGGCTTGTTTTATGGTGCAGGCCTGCAGAGATGTGGAAAGAGCTGCAGATTAAGATGGATAAATTACCTCAGACCAGACTTAAAACGTGGGAGTTTCTCTCCACAAGAAGCAGCTCTCATCATTGAACTCCATAGTATTCTAGGCAACAGGTAGTTCAACTATTATAGACATACTAGAATTATAATTTTGACTATTTTCCATCATCATTGTTAATAGTACTATGGAAATTGGTTAATTACCATCATCATAGTAATCAGCACTGTCGTTTTCTTTTTTTTATGGTCATTATATGTGTCAATATTGACACATTCGTACTTAGATTTTTCATTTTTCGTTTTTCACTTTCTCTCAAACAGATGGGCACAGATAGCAAAGCATCTACCGGGGAGAACAGATAATGAGGTGAAGAACTTTTGGAATTCAAGTATCAAGAAGAAGCTTATCTCTCATGATGTTCCAGCTTTAGCATCTTTCGCTGATGTTCATAATTCTACTCCTCCAGAGGACAGTTTTATCTCCCTAAACGCAAACCCTAATTTGATCTTAAGTACTCATCAAGACCAGGTCTACCTTTCCCCGGCAGCACCAGTGCTACAAAGTTTTGGTCATGGAGATTTAAAGCCAAATTCGAACAATTACCATATCGATTTGGTTCATCATAATTTTCCAACTCCAATGCTCCCGCCCCCTTCAAATACATCTTCTTCCTTTGACCCAACATGGCCATTGCCACCCTTTGTACCTCAACATCTTGATCATCAAAACCAAGAAGACGTCCAAATATTCAGCAATGAACTAGTCCAAAATTTTGTTAGTGATAAGCTCATTAATCCAACAACTGCAGTAACTCCTTATGACCATCCGTTAATGGCCCCGACCGTGCCCAAACTCTGTGAAATCCTTGAAGGAAACATCTGCAGCTTGCAACAAGCATCTGTTTCACTAGAAAATATCGATCCAGTCTCCAGACTTTCATCGTCATGTTTTCCGTCAGCTGGTTCAACCTACCCACATGACATGCACGTGCCAACAAGCCAGATGGAGTACATGGATACCATCATCACATTGCAGCTGCCATCATCTTCATCATCGTCATCCTTATCAGCATTATCCAGCGGACAATATGTTACAAACCCTAATCTTCCTTCAAGCAGCTGGGACCCCTAGGCATGGCGGATCACATCTTACATTATGTTGGGTTGGATATAGCTAGGTATTGTCTACGGGCTCAGTCCATACAAGGCAATTATTTTCTTTAAACATATATGCACAACATATTAAGTTCAGGTCTTATGACAGAAAATTAAAACCTAAATGGTACTAGTTTCAAATATTCAGTAATTATATATAATGCTGTCTGATGATGTTCCATAAATAAATGTAGGTTCTTAATTAATTTCACATGTTAATTACTCTTCGAATATATGTATATATTTGTATACCTGCTTATATATATAGCTTTCTCTAGTGAAGTTCTACTCTATGTTTCTATATCATTTCCTCTATTATATAGCTTTCTCTTTTTCTCTCATTTTGTGGGTGGGGACATGTAAAACAATGGGAAAATTCATTTTCATACATTTTAAATATGATTAATAGAAAGTTTTAGCAAGGTGACGGCATTGAAGATTAATGTGCAGACCAACATATTTAGTACCTGGTAATGATGTAGGGTCTTATGAGAGATTTCCATAATTTCCGTTGGAAGTTTCCGAAGCTATTTTGAATTTTCATAGATGCACTTTAATTTGGGATTGGGATGGGACAGCATGAAGGATTAAGTTGGAAGAAGAACGAGTTACATGATTCAGACAAAAATATTACTGCCTAGAATTATATCCTACTTTAAGTACCGTCCTGCATGACTCTGATTTAAATATTCTTTTAAGAAAACTAAAGCAGACTTTCACTCACCATTTTCTAGCCCAGATTAATCAACGTCGTACTCATCGTCCAGGGATAACATTAATTTCTCTTGGATAGAGTAATGCAGACAGTTCTCAATATTCCTTAGTGATAACATCTTGGTTCCAACAAAATATAGATACTATTTATTATATTACTTACATATTACTATATTTTATGTTCCCTGTAAAGTTGGTAGTTGGTATAATTGTCAGCATTTAATATTTTTCTACAATGCGTTGAATAAAAAATAATTATTCTTAAATTAAAAAGTATGGAAGATATATAATGTCTACATCACATATGTAGACAGGTGATGTTCCAATAGAATTTGCATTGAGATTGACAGGCACAGGCCCAGCTGCTAATTAATTAGTGTAGGCGCCCGCATTTTCTTCCTTCCAATTAATTGGATAAAAATTTGAGGATAAATTATTTTTTTGTTCTTTCTAAGCCCATCGTAGCGAGGGCGCTGTTGTTTAAAGCCAGAATTCTGATAACTAAGCATAATACGAGAAAATGGCACGATGAACAAGTTGGGTGAATGGAAAGGATTTTCAATTTTATAAAGCAAATGGCTGCAGACTGAACAAGGTAAAACAAATGAGGACAAAACAAGCTCGGGCCAACTTCCCGACTGATACGGCATATCATCAATGTTTGACACTTGACAGTGGCTAGTTATCCGGAAATCGGGCTGGTTGGGGCCCAGAAGATATGCCCTTTCACTACACCCTAATGCTAATGACCTTTAACAGTAAACCACTACTATTAGATCATGATCCATGTCAACTTGCTATGCTCGAAGACTACAGCCTCAAGCAAATAAAAGAATAAAAATTAAGCAGCCTTTGCTTTGCTTGCCTCTTGTGATGGAAACAGATAACTGCAATGTAATCTGTACGAGTAAATGGGCCTTCGTCTCCCCACTAGTACTACCGCCTGGAGGCCGCCTTCAAGGGCAATCACTATCAGCCATCGGGGTATGCTTTGCTTCGGGTTGGACAACTGAGGAAGAATGTGTCTTGGTAATTAACACTATAGAAGTTCACAGTTGATGCTAGTTCCTGCTTTATTTATTGAGGAAATAACTCAAGAGTTCCCTTCGTATGGACCGGAGAACTGTTCGACGCAAGAGGTCATAAGGCCACCAACTTTGTACACTTAACTTGCAAACTTGGGAAAAGATTTACCAAATGGAGTACAGCCTTATCTAGCTGATATCTCATATCTGGCTGTAATTGAACACAGTATTTAGTACCACTTCCCACCGTACCGCAAGAAAACTATGATCCAGATGGCTACTAAGATTTGGCCAGAAATCGTGGGCATTTCGTCGTTTATCTATGAATTTGAATATTGTCAGCTTTTGATTCCATGCATGCTAATACTGAACCTTGCACTAGACCATGAGAACGAAAACATATAGGAATAAAACCTACACTGAAACATAATATATACTTACCTTTTTTTTTTTTTTGAAAAGCAATAGATACTTACTTTATTGAGAGAACCGTAATAATATACCAAATTAGATTATTAAGAGTTGACAATGGTACCATATTGTTCCACGCTCATCATAAAACTTCATCCAAAGGCTAACCAGCAGTGACACGGTATGGATTAAGAAGAAAAGAGTTGGTACACATCCTTTTGGAATCAACAAAAGGCAATTTGTCCTTCCTAACACAATCTTGGATCTCCAAATCAGACTCAAAATTTCATTTGTTCTAAGCAGACACACAGAGATCAAATCAAATGCAACTACATTTCCTGATAATGAACTACAACCATTTTCATAACTTTCTGAGTCAGTTAATTCTTGCAAGCACTTATGTATTCAAAGACAATCTAACAGTCAACATATCAGATATCACTAAAGAAAACATCTATCAGAAGAAAGAACAATATTCCTCCAAGCTGTCACCAGGACAGGCAGAGCCAACAGAGTTGAGCAAAAGTGTTTCGAAATTGCTTAGTTGTACCACATTTCAGGGAGCATTGAAATTTGATTCTGATCAAAACATTACCAGTAAAAGAGATGCTAAGCAGTAATTCTCGAACGACCCTTTGCTATTCTTCGAGCAATGACTCGTCGGCCACCCTTTGTTGCCTTGCTGTCCATGGAAAAGAAAATAGTATTTGATTATACAGATCTACAAACTTCAATGAGTTTGCAAAAGGAAAATTCATTTGAAAGGCCCCCAACAAAGTTCCTTTCATCATGTAGCCAGGAAGAGGGAACCGCACTAAGGAAAGTCTCACTAAGATGTGGGTGGTAATTAGCCTAATCAACAATAAATCTGGTCTTCACCAAAGCCACTGAGCCAGCCCTTCTGATTTTTCAAATGAAACTATATTTCAAACGAATTCACCAACTACAATGCTGATTTCGAGACAGAGGAACTACCAAAAGTTAATGATTCACATTATAAGAGAAGAAAGGAAGCTATACCGAGCAAAATATCCATGAGTCCTTTTGCGCCTGATGTGACTAGGTTGATATGTTCTTTTGGGGAATAAGAGCATTGGCTCGCTTGCTGAATCCACTGCAATAATACATAAGAAACACAGTAAATGTAAACAGAACTCACAAAAGCGAGCAATCAAATCAGTTAACAAATTATCGACTAGATAGACAGCCGATGTTCCATTTAAAACAAGTAATAACGGTGTTGCAGGCAAAAACTAGAATCTGATCAACATCGGAATTAGTGCAATCATAAACTGTTGACACTGGAAAACAAGTATTACTATCGACTAAAACAATGAATTTATTTTGGGGGGAGCAGGGACATTCATTCTAGTTGCTGACGATTAAAAGCAAGTTAAACATAACAAAAAAGAGAAAATTTCTTAAGAACTACTACTAAAACCCAAGATTAAAAGCGGTAGAATTACTATAATGCCACTTCGTTTCAAAGCAATCAAAGAGAGAGAGAGTACCGTCCGGCAGGAAGAAGCGGAGAGAAGGGAGGCCAGTCGGATAGAGAAACCCTAAAGAGTAGACTTTAGAGAGGGAATCGGCATCGTTTTGAGGCAAATGGAGAGAGGGTTGTGGCTTCAAGAGAGACGGGAAGAGCTGAGGAGTGATTTGGAAGCCTTGATTCGCAATTCGGTGGTTGGAAATCGGCGTCTTGTTGAGAAGCGGATTCGCTATCAGCCGGTTCATCAGCGACGCTCCGGTTCTAACAAGGGCTTTAGTCGCCATTATTTTTCTTCTGTTGAAGAACTGGTTTTTGCTAAACCCTAGAGAGTGGGGTAGAAACGAGTGACGAATTGCAAAAGGAGAAGACAAGTTTGTTAATGGGTCAACCTGTAGGGCCCAAATAATGTTGTCTCAAAGGGCCAACTAGCTTATTGGGCCTTTTCCACAAAATTTCATTATGTACTTAATTTGGAAATTAATATGTTAACACTCTCTATTGGTCTTCTTCCAAAAACAATCTCCATACAAAATAGTGGTTTTACTAATAATATCAAGATCCACCATCAAAATAAGCATCTCCTTTTTGGCAAAAAATGGGCTAAAAGGCTTTATAACTGTCAACCCTATCTGTGTTCTCTTTCTTGCTCAAAGCACTCCATGGTGTGTTTGGAAAGAGGATCTGATCTTTGACTTTGCAGAGCAATAGCTTATTGAGTTATTTTTACTTTGCCAAGCGCAAACCAATCCGTTTTCAATACCCCTATTCGCTGCTTTTTTTCCCTTCTATTTGGTGTTTTCATTTTTTTTTCTTATATTTTTATTCACCATTTTAAAAAATAATTTTATATATTTTTTACTTTAATCAATTTTTATAAAAGAAATGTAAACTTAAAAATTTATATAAAAAGAAGAAAAATATTCAATTTTATATTTCTATATGTAAAGATAATTTTGTAAATTTATACTATATTCTTAGTAAAATCCTTTCAAACCAAACACGACAATATAATCCTTTTAATAATTACATTCCCTACAATATTATTTTTTTATGTTATAGCAAACGCTATAAAATTATTTTCCCAACAATGTTATATCCATTAATCATATTTTGAATGATCACTTTCCTAACATAATAACAAACACCACCTATATGATTAATATCTTGCTAACACAATTTAATAATCCATACCATGATAAAACATGTTCTAATATCAATTGTAATGATTTAAATCCCAACATCATTAACCCAACAACTATTCAAACCTAAATTGCATGACAATTAAAACGTACACTCAAGTTGCTACTAATTTAGATCTTTAAATAAATTTTAACAATCACAAAAGTCTTCGGGGAAGCTTAACCATTGAGGCTGAGAGAGGCTTTGCTTAATGGCCAATAGTTTCTAAAAGGTTAATTCAATACACATGAAATCATCCCAAATAATTCAATAAATATGGTGAATGTGAGGGCTTATGATAGTATTGCTCAATGATTTGTCAACCACAAAGGTAAATTGAAAAAATTGATTAATAATCATGAACACCATCTAAGAACACAAAGAAGAAATTACAAACAAATCCAAAGAACAAAAAAACAAAAAAGTGGTCAGGAAAAAAGAAACAACAACAATAATCTGGGGAGAGCACTTGGTCATATCATTTAGACCAAGGCTATTTCCTTGTATCAAGACCTAGAAGAAACCAAGACAACCCCAAACCTGATGGTGTTTAGAACCCCTTTATAAAAAATGGCAAGGGAAATACATAAAGAGGAGGGAAGAAAGAAATATAATAACAAAACAGATATCAATTGATGACTAGATGTAAATCGCTCCTGCAGCTTTATACAAATGACTGATGAAGATTTTATGATGGTACCCAAGGTTCTATTGCTCCCCATGAAGCGCACTGGAGATCCAATCTGATGCAGCCGTTTGAATGTCTGACTCAATTTGTGGAGAAAGTGATAGAGGAGTTACTGCAACCTATCATTTCGAGCAAAAATGAAAGAACCAAATCAACTGCTGTTTTATAGTGACATAAAAGGAACCATTTCATATTACATAGGTCAATTTCATGACCCTCATGAAAATGAAAATCAATCATTCAAAACCAATTTCAGGAAAAAAACAATAGGGTTTCAACTTACAAATCCATTATCAAGTGCCCTGAAATCCAAATCCTCATCTGTATCTTCCTGTTCTCTATCTACAAACTGCAAAATATATATACCCATATCAACAATCAACTATAATTACTCGTAACAAGATTAAAGAATTCGTGGATAAGGAAAAAGATTGATGAAGAGCAAGCAAAAATTAGTATAAACAAAAAAAAAAAGGAAGCTTTTAAGCTTTTGAGATGCATATGCAACATGAATGAGACAACTAAATATTCCATTTAAGAGATTCCTAGGTAGGCAAACCCTGATTCTATGGAAATGTTCAAATATATTATTGAAATAAGAAAATTTTTAAACAAATAGCATTTATTTAGAAAAGAAGATGATAAGACAAGGATTTCTCGTTCTTGGTTTCACCAACTACAAGAGCAATAAAAATTGGGATTTATGGCAATTAAAAACTTCTAGATTTCTTAGATGGAATTTTCAATACCTCCAATCGGAAGTACTTTTTCACTTTATTGGTATCAGATTTAGCAGCCCCAACAGATTCTATCTCCACGTTCTTCCTTCGTGTGGTCAGGCGGCGAGCAGCACCCTGAGGAAAAATATGCATACATTATCAAGAGTGAAGAGTGACAAAGATACTGATCCTCCAATTTAAGAGATTAACATAAAGAATGCAGACATGAAAAAGGGGGTTGAGGAAGGGTAGTGAATGATGCAATCCCGTTCAATAAAAAGAAACTTACAGCAGCGGATGCATCTCGGCTAAGCTGTGCAAGTTGGATACCAAGGCTTTGTTGATTAGACATGAAATGTGCAGCAGAAGGATGCCGATTAGCTGAAACAGCTTGCCAACTTGGAGCAGATCTCCAAAAACTTTGCTTGGTCAATTTAAAACCCTGTCACATATGAATAAGCAAAAATATATGAAGAGACCAGATAAAGTTACATACTGAAAATAACTACACATAACAGTGGGGGGAGCATGCAGCTGATGCACTGAAACAATAGATTGTGCTTCAAGAAAGAGAATAAATAGAAAGCTAAACAGATTTGATAAAATAATCTGATAAAACAGATACAGCATCAAAGTTAAAGGTCATTAAATGGATCAGCTCTTAAAACAAACCGCATGTTCAAAAAAAAAAAAAAGGCAAGAATTAGTTGATGCAGTTGCCAGATAGAGTTATCCCACAAGAACAAAATAAGCAGGTAAAAATTAGCATTAGAAAGATCATAACTGAAGGCAACATAGCAGATCAATTGTGCATGAAGCATCAGCCATCAAGAACAATTTATGAAGTCATATAGGGACTCAAGTTCCATTCAGCATAATTTATGTGTAAAACATTAAAAAGAAACAAAAAGGCACAGTTACACAGGTTACCTAAAGGAGTAACACTGAACAGATAAAAAATTTTAGTCCGAATTATGTGTGACAAGACACAATGACAGTGAGAAATTTTATCAAACTTCAAAAGCCATTCTTCTGTGTCTAGTTGGACACAACTTGGATTCAAACATTTGAGTAAATATGCTGGTAGGAACTTGGATTGTCGAAATGTACTTTTGTATAGAACATCCAACTACCATTAGGAAGCTTCCTTCCAAGGGTGATTTAAGCTTTCCCCCTGTTCAATGAAGCTTCCATTCAAAAGTGGATGTCTTCTACTTGAAGCTTCACATAATCAATTTTCCAAAAATTTTTCTGCCAAATCACTTGGGGTACAGATCTTTTAAGAGGGACATTGCATCAGGGAAACTTCCATTTCATCAATAAAGAGCATGACCTGAAACTTCCTACCAGATCATATACTATCATGCTGCTTTCTAAGGATTTTAATTCTCCTAAAGAAGACAAGGCACGATCCTTGTATAATAACCTCTAAAAATACTGCTTTTAGGCACATCCAGTTCTCTGACATGGTTAAAGGCAATGAAACTTCACCCATCCATAATAATTTGGGAAGTAAATCACATCTCACTCAAATCTCTGCATCTAAGAAAACTAAAAGAAGAGATAGAGAACTTTGGAAAGTTCCAAAAGGGACATTTATGAAAACAATTCCAAGATTACCTAATAATTTGAACCTGATATGACTATATGAGAGTTCCCACACATTCATGCTATAGCCTACAAACAAACAAATGAATACGAATAAATGAGCAGATTGATTGCTCTACTAAGGCGTAAGCAAGGATCTTCCACATTAGCTCTAACAAAAGATTATTTTTATGATGATAGCAACCTCATATATTTTGCCTCTCCTAACATAAGAAGCACAACAGACAGTTTAAGAACAGGAACACTCAATACCCACCCTAGAAAATTATTGTCACCATCAACTAAAATGAATTGTCTAACAGAATCCAATTGGCTTTTAAACAGTTGAATATAACAAGATTTCATGAGGGCATGACAAGGAAGCAATTATATGCAAATATTCATCATCAGTTGATATCCACAATTTAAAGACCAAAACCACTATTATATCTCATTTAAAACATGATAGACATCAGTACACATCACATAAAAGTTAATCACAATCTTATATTATTAATGTCCTTAAAATAAGGAATCCAAACCTTGTTTGCTGAAGGAGAAGTAGGAATTTCTATACTTAGAAGGCAACTTTTAGGGAAAACACCCTTTTCAATATCTCTGATGGCTGCATTAATTAAAGGTAAACATACACCAACTGCATCCTTAAAATCACTTTCTTGGCTTTCTTCCCTCTTCCTGCAATAGTATCCAACACTCAACAGAACATTCAATCATGAAAACGAAAAGAAAATAGTAGAACCTAATCCCCATAAAATAGGATTGTAAGTCACCAGTTCATTGATATTGACAAAGATGGTACACCACAAATTAATGCTTCTCTAGCGCCAGCCACAACACCTGAGTAAAACCTGGTATATTACGCATTATAGATACACTTAGCATCCAAACATGAGCAAAAAAGATTATTGGTAAACTAACAAGATATAAAAACCATAACACATGCATGAAGGCATGCAAAGCTTTATCATCAGGAGATAAGGCTTCAAAGGAAAACTTATAGTATCTTTTATAAATATCAATTAAAAGGGCACTAGTCCCACCTGTTAAAATCAAAGCAAAATTCAATTAGTATTATTGTGCAGGCAAGCTCAAAGACTTACATGTGATGACCACAGCTTGATCCCCGATTAATTCCACTAATTACCTGGAAATTTACATCAAATACGGTAGTCAATAAATGCTTAAAACCAAAATTATGTTTTTAATTCATTTATAAGAGGATGAAAGCCTAACCAGCAGAGGCTTTGACCATGAGAATAGGGCCCCAGACAAGGCTAAGGAGACGCAATCCACAGTAGTCCCTGAAAGCATAGAACCATGATTGAAGCCAATTATGAATTATAACTCAATCCACATCAAATTTACACAAGCTGCAGACATATATTGACATGAGCATCTGAAACAAGGTAACAAATAACAGTCAGAAAAAAAAAATTAAAAGCCAAATTTCCATCATATAAAAAAAATGATGGTTCTGAGTTCTGACACACTATACTTGGCTTACTATAATAGTATGGTTTCAAATCCCAACTCGACAAATACTTATAACTTGCCCGAAAAAATTGAATAACATTAATGCAAAATCCAATCACACCTGATACTTCATAAGCTGTGGCGCCATCAATTTCTGCTGGAGTAACAGCAATTGTTTCTCGGAGAGTTACCGAATGGCCCGAAACAGATTTGTCCCTGAAGCAATCCATTCAAAAGCTAATAAATCATAACAAATTACCAGATTTACTTTCCAAAATATTAGAAATTAAATATTTTTAGAATAAATGTCCAAATTAATATAATTAAAAAAAAGCAGAACAATCATAATTCGATATAGGCGACATTTCCAAAAGAAAAAGAAGAGTTAAAAGGAATTATGAAAGAAAGAAAAATTGCATATTTGCCAATTCTGATATCAAAACCAACTAAAAGAAGATAACCAAATTTGCTAAACGTTTCAAAAATAAGAGAGCCCCACATATCCTGGTCAATAAACAATGAGAAGCAAACCAAAA